TGCATTCCTTTGTTATACTGTATTTTCATTTTTGCTAGCTGGTTGCTAGTTCTTCTGTTTGTATCAGAGAAGCTAACAGGCAGCGTGTCTTCCATTCAACAGGTGACTAATGGATAGAAATTGGTTATGCATGTATTTCTATTATTTTATTATGATGCATGTATTTCTGAAACTGCTAATCAAATGTGTCCAGGATATTCAAGAATGCTTTGAAAGTCCCTCCCTCATTCTGCACAATATTTCAAATGCAAGGATTATTATGTTCAAGATTATTAGTACGTGGAAACATGCAGCAAGTGATAATATTAGCCACGATCAAATAAAAACAATAATTTACATTAATATAAGGCCTTTCACATCAGACATCTTGCAGTGCATCACAGAGAGGAAGTTCGAGAATGCCTTAGTCTCTATCCCTCCCTTGCTTCCTTCAAGGCACGTCTCAAGATCCTCCACTTTAACCGAGCCTTCAGTCACCCTTCTACTCCTACTGTCTCTGCCCTCCACCACTCCTGCTCAGGTCCAAATCCTTGACTGTCCAGCATCTTGGGACGTCCTCCAGATGTGAAAGGCGCTATACAAATGTAGTTTGTTGTTGGTTTTGTCTCAAAGTGCTTCACAGAGCTGACCTGGAACCTGAGTTTGGGGTGGAGCGAGCTGAAAGTCGGGAAGGTGAGGAAGATGTCCCCCCCTCATTGGCTAAAGTTTTCATTCTGTTCAGCCATCCTACAGATCATGACAATAATAGAGGTTCCTTCATATTGTTGTTATGTGCAGTATAATGAACACCGATAGAAGGTACAAGGCAATAGCACAATTGAAGCTCTCAAGTGACACTATGGTACTGGACTATTTATGGAATTTATTTTATTTTGAAGCTCGCTGTTGGGATACTTGGCACATCACTCCCTCCTCAAACATACACTTGAAGTCGCGGCACAGAACTTACATTCACTGCCATGCATTAATGAGAAAACAAGCGCTTGCCACGTGAAAGCTCTCTTCATACCTAATGAGTGGAACAGTCATAGCTCACTAACCTTTCTTATCTCTTTAAAGCTGCATGTTGTACATGACAGGATCGATTGATTTTCGTTTCTGGCATTCACTCGGATTTTGAAGGTTGGACTGCTTGTGGAGCATCACATAAAAATGCATGAGTTTTAGAGACAGGTGTCAAATTATTTAGTCAGTGTTGTGTGAAGAAATTAAAAATCTAAAGGAACTGACAGAAAATAGCTTCTGTATCGGGAGAGTGACATTACTTCTGGGGTTGTGGGAATTAGTGGAGCAAAGATTAAAAGGAACACAAATAGATAGTGCTCTTAAAGGACCTTTTCACTCATTCCTGCATATGAATCTGCATTAATATGGAACACTGTATAATGCAGTTAACCATAAACATACTGTAATCAAGTTAACCCAGCTATACTCATTTGTGATTTACAGATGATGTGGATGGACAGACCTTGAAATAGCAAGTAGTTGGGGTAATGGTTACTACAAGTATACTCTTAGGTACGCATTATTTTCGAAGCTGCAGAAGATAACCAATAAACTGTTCCCCCAACGTACTAGCGACACATTGTAATACAGAAGGTGTTCCATACAATACAATAATCTGCTATTTCTCACTGAATCACAAATGATGCCGAAATGAGGCTCAAAAAGAGTACAACTGCCTTAGGTTCATGAGAGTGAAGTAAACCCTAGTTGAGACCTCCATGAGGGGATGACTTTACTAGGAAAGTGCTGTGCACCAATGCAGATTCACTCTCCACGATTACCCCTAAACAGTTCTTGGGCATTCCATTGAACTCCACTGGAGTAATTTTAATGTAGTTATGAAACTAGTTGCATTACTGGCTCCTTAATAACATTGCTTTTAAAATAAACATCTAACCAGCATTTGGTAGTGAGTTCATGTCCAGAGGTGGTCTCAGCTCCAACCATTGCAATTTTGGAGGGAGAAATATAAATATTCTCTTCTCCAATTCACTTTACGACTGAAAAAGATTGCAAATCACTTCCAGGAGTATACAATGGGCCATATGGCCGAAACCATTGCTGGAATTGTGTGTTGCATGTACTGCATATAGATTTTCTAAAAACAAAAGACAACTATAAAACTGAATACAACCAGATGAACTATATGCTGAAAATAGACATTGGGAGTTTTTTTTAAGATTAGGGAATACTGAAGTAAAAACAACATACGCAGAATGTAGAGCAGGTCAATGAAAAAATATACTAACATATGGGTGGGCTGGAAAAGGTCCTTTATAGGAGAGCAAGTGGAATTCAACCAGGAGAAGAGAGACATTGGTAAAATGTCTGAAAAAGAAAAGGTAAAACAACATTCACAAATAGACATGGACTGGATCATTAACAGGAAAGGATGTTAAAAGATGATTGATGTGTGAGACAGCTGTAATAAAGCATGTAATTCTAGTGCAACCTAGGTTTTGTAAAAAAATACCTGGGGCTGAGGTGGGAACGTAGAGAAAACAATTAACATTTGAGGATGATTATTGTTCATGCCTGCAAAATGACAGGTGCCTCCAAAAGGAGATAACCTCCTGCAATGCACCGTATTAGCAGTGGGGAAGCTGAGGGTAGATTGGTCAGACTGGGAGATGTGGTTGACTTAATAATAATTCTTGCGTTTGATACAGTGCCTTATCACATCTTCGAGACGTCTTAAAGTGTTTCACAGAATATACTGTAAAGTGAATTGTTTCCAGACAAACCTGGGATGTTTGACAAAGAATGAAATGTTGCTCCCACTTTTTAAAGGATCCATTATTTGGTGACCAATAGAATGAGCCAGACTGCAATTCTATGGTCTGGGTCTTGTTGCTAATGTTTTCCTCTCTGACTCATTCAGGGCACAATTCCAATGTTCTCTTTGATATCTCACCTGAAGACCTATTCATGTCTGAGTCAAGGCAGTGACTGTCAACCGGTTGATTTGACTCTGGAGGGTATCTCAGCCAAGCTCAATCAGCTTTTCACCCAGCGCCATGGACTGCTGATTTTATTTGCTTCTCACTGTCACTGAGACTAATAGGAGTGCCCTAGTTTTCACCCCACCCAAGATAATTTTGCTCGACACAAATCAGCAATTGAACCTGCAACTGTCTGGCGTGTGTGGCTTCATGCTGCGTTAGGTGATAGCTTTACCCGCTAGACTATCGTGGATGTGAATAGATTAAAATTGTAATGGGATGATGTGATATTCCCAGAAACCCTGCTTCTGTGATTAAGCTTCTCACCAGTGCACGGAACGTTGAAGCTACAATATTGTGTTCATCATAATGAGGTCATTTTGAATTTAAAGATGATTGCACATAAACCTCTCTTTAGTGATTGATAAAATCAGTGAATCATTTTCTATTCACAGAGATGTAGAGTAATATTGGAATGAGTGCTTTATCCAAAGCAATTTCTGTATGTCAATAGTTTCTTAATTGCAGTGGAACGGGGTTGATTTATTGAGGTTTTCTTGAAGATATATTGGATCGCTGATACTGGTGATGAAATTATTGTTTCTGGTTTTGAAACATTTGCTGACATTTTAAAATGTTCAGTGAAATTCAGGTAATGAAAATCCTTCCATTTGATACAGAAAATTTATCACAATGTTTCTAAGTGCTTCACAGGAATTACTGTGTATTTCATAGATTGTGGCAGCCAATTTGCACACAGCAGTGTCCCACAAACGACCATGAAGTGAAAAAGAAATTTTATCTGGGGCATTGTTGGCTAAGATACCAAGAGTAACTTTTTTCTCTTTTCAAATAGTGTCATGAGATCTTTAACATCCACCTGAACAGGCAGTTGAGACCTTAGTTTTGCTTCTCATCCAAAGGACAGTAGTAGTAATAATATAATAATAATCCTTTCATCTGATATAGCCCCTTAGCATGTTGTCGGGACATCGGTATCTCCGACAATAGAGCACACCCCCAACACTGCATTGGAAAGTCAGCCTAGATTACATGACTTCAAAGTCCCAACATGGAATTTGAATACACAAACTTGTGACAATTGAGCTATGCTGGAGGCCGTGTTATTAATAAGACAGTGATTAGCCTTATAGCCTCCCGCCCCCCACCGCATCACTGCCCTGGAGTATTAGCCTAGACGTCTGAGATAAAATATTAAATACAAACGATGCTTAACAGAGGACTTTTTTTAGTTAAATCTCTCCATGCCCGATAACCTATATTTAGGAGTCTGTTAATGAAGTAGCAGCACATCACAGAGTTCAGATAACATCAAAAGCTAATGCTTGGTTGGTTTGTCAAACCCTGAGGTGTAGTACAGTACTGCCTTCGATTAACACTAAACCTGTTCCTTATAAAGTCTATGAAAAGGTGAACATTTTTAATAACGTAGGAAGCCAATCCTGATCCTAATTACTTTTCCTTGGCTGTTACTAGTAAATATAAGTGTGTGTGTGTAAACCTTATGTAAGAACTTGATCAGACTCATGGTGATGGTCCAATAGCCTGCAAACACTCACTGTCTAGGCTCCCACATGAAGAATGTCCATTTGGTGAGGTACAGGGGGGCAATTGCTGCCTGTGGAACTGTTCCCCAGGAGGAGCCTACACTTTCAGGAGAAAACTTAGCAAAATTGGCAAATAAGTCATATGTTTTGCAATATGATGAGCTATTTTAAGATGTATTATACTGTCATTGTGGGTTCCAACCTTGTGCAATAAAAGTCTGGTTAGACTATGGTGTGAGAAAGGCTGAAACTGTGGTCTAGAGCAGCTTGCGTATCAATCAGTTTGTCTGTTTATCGTACAAATTTTATCAAGTAATTGATAATAACAGCCAACGTGATCTCATCAGGTCTTGACTGGACTTGTCATATGAATAACGTTGTTTGTGAACAATTTGGTGTGTTGGGTAATACACCAGCAATTCTTTCTTCAAGAAATATTTTTGCATTGAGTCAACACAGCTGACGACATCTGCCTTTTTCACAGGTCTTGTTGATTATGTCTGCAACTTGCTCATTGAAAGCACAGCCCTGTACTTTGAAACGGATGACAAAAACAGCACCAAAATGGCCAGCACTCTGCTGTTGTCTTTAATTGATATCCTGCACTGTATGCTGAAGCACACGTCCAATATTGTCCGCATTGCTTTGCAGGTAAGAGAAGACCTGAAGTAGTAGGTTTCTTGGTATTATTGTCCCAGATCTAGTTTGTATTATTTTCCCCTTTAGTGATTCATTTTTCATCTTTTTTGGTACCTCAGTCAAGGGGTGGACAGACAACTGCTTCCACTTCACACCCAACAAGCTTATTGTAAAGGAAATAGGTAAGAAATGGTCAATGTGTTTTAGACGTATTCGTACTATGCCTCCATCAAATCTTCTTTCTGTTCTGCTCAGTACTGTTGCTCAGCTCTGATCCTCTGTTACTATAATTAGGCAGCGAGATGTATTTATCATTGCAGTTTAATGTCAAGAAGCATTGCGTCCTCTGGTTGGGATTATACCTGCCACGCCATTCATTAACGTTTCAATGCCATTAGTCAATCAAGAGAGCAAGGCAGAAAAAGAAGGCAAATGAGTTCATGAGCATTTTTTATATATGTCCTCCTTGAAGTTTTATTTGAATGAAACTATTCAGGTGTAAGTGAAAAGTAACATATGAAATTGACACGTAATTGGAGGTAAATGCTATGACGTGACGTCAAAATAAGTGCAGGATGTCAGGTTTTGAGGTGAAGTTCTGCCAGCGTTCAGAGGAACAAACAAAATCCACAAAATTGTATGGAAGAATGTAGGGAATCTGTGCTTTGTTCCACTTGAGCCAATTACAGTGCTTGCTATCCAATTCACCCTGAGATCATAAATCAGTGCCAAAGTACAAAGTGGGGGAGGGCAGGAGAAGTTGTGTGGCCCCAGTAATCACACAACTGTAAGTGGTCTATTGCTGTCATTATCAGAGAATGTACTACTCTCACACATTCCTCAGCTAATATATTTCAGTTGTGCTGAGTGCTACTGTCATGTCATAATTATATCTGTTAGTTTCCAGCCTAATGTTCAATCAGTGAACATGGAGGCTTGTCTCTTTGTATGAGAGCAATGGAACTCTTTTCTCATTCAAAACTGCATTAATTTGTAATTGAGGTCATTGCATAACTAATAAACAGAAGTGCAGGCTGGAAGTGAATTTTTACTGAAGCACGTATCCAATGGGAATACGATATTTCTGTTTTATTAATTTAGTTTTAAAAATGCCAAAATACTTAAGCTGTCAGGTATGTTGACATTTCTTGCCCTGGTTATAATATTAATAATAATCCTTGTATTTGGTATAGTGCTTTTCACGTCTTCTAGACGTCTCAAAGCACTTCACAGAATATGCTGTAAAGTGAATTGACTGTATTTGTTGGCGAAACGCGGCAGCCAATTGTGCCAGCAGTGTCCCACAAACAGTCTCAGATTAAAAATGACCAATTTATTATTGCTTTGTTTTGGAGGGATTATTATTAGCCGTGTGGAGTAAGGAAACTTGCCCAAGGTTTCACTCTGACTGGAATTGAACCCAGGTGTCTCGCTTGCAAGGCGAGTGCTCCAACCACTGAGCTACAGGACTGCAGGATTGGCAGCATTACTGCAGTGTAAGAGGCCAGCTGCAGCTGTGATGCCCATTTGCTACTCTGTTGACTAGATGTACAATAGTGCTGTGCGAAAGCGTACGCAAAGAATGTCCCAAGTGCTGCTGCAATCTCGAATTGGCAATAATATACTGTAGATCAGTGCCAACAATGGATAACATTCCCTCACTTCAGTGCAGGACACAGAGTATATGATGCACTGAAGTTTCAAAGATACTATTGCATGCCAGTCCCTATTCACAAACAGTGGAGGCTGCTTCATTTCGGACGCCGGTTAGCCTCAGACGCTGGCTAATTTGGACAAGACTCCAGATCACGGTTTGTTTGTATTGTAAGCTATTTTACATATGCGGGTTAATTTGGACATTGCTGAGCTGTTGGTCACCGCTGTGTCAATTCACTCGTTCATTCTGTGCAGGTCAGTCTCGAGCGGCTCCATTCAGACTCCATCCGTTCACGAGCGGCACTGAGGTGTCAATCAATGAGGGGGCGGGAGGAACAGGAAAGAAGCGAGGGAGGGAATGGAGATGTGAGAGGTCAAATTGACAGCGGACTCCATCCATTCAGGAGCGGCTCCAGGTTGTCAATCAGCAGCAACCAGTGTGGGGGGGGGAGGCCAGTGACTGCATCTGGTGGCTGGGAGGGGATCAGTTAGCGGCAGCTCCGAGGTGTCGATCACTGATGAGTGAGGCAGGACGTGACCAATGGGATGGGGTGGAGGAGGCACCAATGCTGCTCCTCTGTTTGGCAGGAAGGGAAGAGATGACAACAGTAGAAGTTAGCACTTTTTTAAAAAAAAAGTAATTAGTAACTTCAGTTAACTGCAGACACTGGTTAAATCGAACAAAACACCCTGCTCCAACATGTCCAGCTTAAGTGACTTCCACTGTATTCCACTTTTGAGACCAAATAAAACCATGTCACATATTTTTGCAGCTTTATAGTCAACGTTATTCACACATTTATGGTGTTTGCATGTAACAGTTTATGATGGGTTTACATGATCCTGCCTGCTGCTCAAAGAGAATATTTGTTTTGGTTCAGCTCAAGCCAACAGGAATGGAACCCAGAGGACCCACTGTGAAAACTCAAACCAGTAATAGATGTTTTTTCTTTGGTACAAATCAGTCCACTGCCTCATACAATCCTTGCATTTGATATGACACCTTATCACATCGTCAGGACGTCTCGAAGAGCTTCACAGGATATACTGTAAAGTGGTGTGAGTTTGTGTGTTTTGCGAGTGAAATGGGCAGGCAATTTGTGTATGACAATGGCCCACAACAGTCATGAAGTGTTGATCTGGACACTAGGAGAAACTCCCTTCTCTTTTCGAATAGTGCCGTAGGGATCTTTAATGTCCATCTGAACCAGGCAGACGGTCGAGGCCAGCATTTGGACCTTGCAATCCTTGCAATTGCACAAGACCCCGAGCCAGATGGGCCCCGAGCAGATCCAGTGATAAAATTTAGTGTCATCATCTAGTAAATGTAGGGGCTCCAAACTGAACCTTTGCAAAGGCCCCTCGCAAGGCAACCACCGTCTCTACAAACAAGACCTTGGCTTAAAGTCTCATCCAAAGAATGGCACCTCCACCCTCCCTCCCTCCTAGCTTGGACTCCCCTCCATCTCTACAAACCACGTGAAAGATGCTATATAAGTGCTAATTGTTGTTGCTGTTGTGTAATGAGACTATTCTACAACAACATTACACTTATATAGCGCCTTTCACATAGGGAGGACGTCCCAATTCAATGGAAGTCCAGCTTTCCATTCCCTTTACTAATACATTGGGTTAGAATGACTATCTAAATGGCATCTGCAGAAATGGATCGTACCATGACTAGCACAAGTGCAGCTAAATCCTTTTTTATCCTTCAGTAGTGTGGACCACTCTCAGTGCCAGGGTTTCCTCACTACCAATGGAATTAGAGACCTTCCACCCTGTGGTTGACGTTAATCAAGGAATCAGTCAAATGATGGATTTCACATTAGTTATTTTTGTAAAAAAAATAAAAAGGACCATCAATAATCCATGCATCATCTAATGCAACTTGTCCCAACCTGTGACCAGTCAGACAGAATAAACTACAGCTTGCAAATTGTATTTAATTAAGATCACAGAAGAGGTCCAAGCCCATTGCTTTTTTGGAATGAGCCATTGACATCCACATATCGTGCGCCATTAACTGTTTTGTTAGCACTCCAGCTGCCTTGCATAGCCTGTGGCTCATGCAGGTGTGGAGGCAGAATCAGTGAATATTTACATAAGCAGCATGCAAACACTACCTGTGAGATTAATGCCCCGTGTAGATTCTAGGATCAAACAAAACTGGCCCTGGGGCTACTGGTGCTGGGATCCTCTTCCATTAACATTGCGAAAGGAAAATCCAAGTCACCGGCGACACCATAGAAAGCAATGTGCCTGTGCACACTTAGCATGAATAATGGTCTCTAAATTCAAACCCATAACTGTTTTTCTAACCAGGACTCTTCCACAACTCAGGGGACGCTCTATATAGGCCGGCAGTGCAGAAAAAAATATTGCTGGTCAGTGTAGGGCCCTGGGCAACAATGCAAGGTTGCCTGCCCACTGCCATCAGCAGCAGGGCTTAGAGTTTTCCTTTTCAGCCCATTTGCTATTTCCTCTGATGTAAACCCACCTCTGGTCCAGTCTCTGAAGGCAACAGTGTCACCTCTTTTATATTGCACCAGATGCAGTTAATTGCGGTGCGGTCAATGCCAATACTGCATTAGAATTGGGGTAAAAAGTTACTTTTTGAATCTTCACCTCTGAGCATTGCCTTCGAGTCAGAAGATTGTTGGAACGTGAAACTGATTTAGTCCATCCCGACACTCCAAAGCTATCCTTTAGATGAAACATTAAACGTACATTCTGACTGCTAGTTCAGGTGGACTTTAAAGACTGCATGGCACGAGACGAAAGGAAAAGAGTTTCTCCTGGTGTCCTGGCCAACAATACCCAGATAAAATTAGTCACCGACTTCATGGCTGTTTGTGGGTCATTGCTGTGTGCAAATTGCCTGCCACTTTTGCCCATAACATGTACAATCACTCCAGTTTGCAGTATATCCTATGAAGCTCCTTGAGATGTCCTCCCTACATGAAAGGTGCTTATATTAACTGTAAGGATTATTATCTTTTTGTTTGCATATTTAATTTCCCCTCCTTCCCTTGTTGAATCTTGCAGTGATCCACGTTCATGGTTCTAGCCATCCTCCAGTACTTTGCTCAGTTGTCATTTGAACTTAGACTGTGAATGATGGCAAGCTATTTAACTGTTGAGGCCATCGCTGTCGAATCTTGCCCTGTCCTCACCTGACGTCCACAAACCTGCTCTTTACAGCAGAAGTCACTGAATAGCGATTGGGACTGGAGAAGGGTGAGAACGTCGGCTTTTTTCATATGTGATAAATAGTTCCTGGAGCCAAGCCAAGATTCAGTATTTTCAGGAGAGGACAATTTTTTTTAAAAAAAGACTTGTTTTATTTCTTGCTTAAAAGCATGTATGACACCTTTGTTCACTTTGCTTCATAATGAAAAATTTCTTGCGGTTATGAAACTACTTTGAAATCCTCAATTTGTTAGCACGCAGGTCAGCAATTCTTACTTATCGGAATTGGCTGTTGGAGAAAAAGCTTGATTGTATTTTTGTAAGACATAGATAAGTGAAATGCCATAAATTGAAAGTTAGCTAATTATGAATTGATATATTTTACCCATCCAAGAAATCCTGGGAAATGCGTTTCTCACTATCTTCTGCTGACATTTTTCACCACCTGCTGGGACTCATTTGTATCTCAAAGGAATAACCGCTGCAAGATTCTTTTTCATTTCTGTTTTCTCATTAAGGCACAGAAATCAGGCTCGGGAGAGGACACCCAGGCTGCCGAAAACCTTCTGCTTATCAATAAACCCCTGACAGACTTAATTAGTCTGCTTATTCACCTGGTAAGAATTCACTGCATTTCTACATTGAGAGAGTGTTAGCACTTGCCCACTAGACGTCCTTTACAGGTTGAATGAACAGGAATTTTTATGGGTAGAATATTTTCAGGTGATGAAGCAACAGCATTGCTCGCACATTGTTTTTTTGGCGGCACCTGGAAATCGATTGTCAAAATAATTCGAATGATGCATTTGCATCTTCTGGTGTAAACCTTCTCAACAAGCTTTTTTCGGGTCTAAAGTAAAATCCAATGGTTCGATCTTGGTTTCGCACTGAAACAGGTACATTGAAAGAATGTTCCAACACTGCTCTGCTCTGGGATCATTCCCAGCAACCCTCAATGTCTCCAGGCAACGAGACACCAACATGGTGAGGACTGCAACTTCTAATGTCATCCTGCTGGCACCAGTCCAACATCCAGGCTTCCACACAGTCTTGGCCACAATTATTTTATCATATTGATGTGTAATTTTATCTAAGCTGTGACTCCAATTTAAACAGGGCAGCTCAGATCATTCTTCCTTTAGTACTTAGAGTAAATAATGAGTCACTCAATTTATCCACCAGAATAGGTTTTTGACACCTCCTGAAATTGATATAAAAATTATACAGTACTTAATAGCATTGTCTTTTTTTGCTCTCCTCTGAAAGCAGTGATTCATACTGGGAGAAAGTTTCACTGCTTCCAGCAGTCACAAGGTGCCTTGCCCCAGTGGCCTTTTTAATGTTGGTGTGCACTAATTGTTGGCAAGCAGTCCAACCGAGAAGGTCTTTTGCAGCTAAAGCAAATCGTATGCTGTTCCAGCAAGGTGACTGGATAGCGATCAAGAGTAAAAAAAACCTTGCTGGCTATGGGGCATTGAGACCTGTTCTGAAGAACGTAAAAATCCTGTGCCACTATTTGAAAAGAGAGAGTTTCTCCTGGTGTCTTGGCCAACAATCCCCAAAATAAAATTGGTCATTCACTTCATTGTGGGAGATTGCTTTTTAGTCTATTTCCCTTCGTAGCTTGTACCATTCACAAGATTCAGATGCAAGAAACATTGAGCATTCTCTTGACCCCCTTAAAGATCAAGAAAAGCATACCTTTTGGAAATTCTGGCCCTCAGCATCAACTGGCCCAGCAAGAGTTTGTACACTGTGTACCTGCTGTCTTGGACACACAGTCACTCGCATATATCCTTCTCCACCTTGGCAGTGCAGTTCATTGTCAGTGTGAGGTAAATATCTCTGTTCCTCCCCTCTCATGTTTAACTTGTCATGTCATGATTTAAAAGACTCCCATAAATGCTTCTGTTAAGCCGTAAAGGTGATCTTTTATGGTTTAGACCAATGCTGTTTGGGATAAGGTTTGGGACAGCTTTGGAGATGATGGTTTGCAATGATCTAATTTGTTGGAAGCCAAATGCTCTGGGACTCTCCTAATGACTATTCAGTAAATAGCTGAACAACATGGTCCAAGCAGGTTCCAGATTCATTACCCAGTTGGTGCTAAGTTAGTCAAATTGAGCCTTGGTGAGGCCGAGCTACAATTGCCCTCAATGTGCTGGGATAGGGAGGGGGAATCAGCTGGAGCTGGACAAGGTATTGAAGACCACTTGGCATCAATAACACTGTAATTCCATTAAAACAAAAAATGGCTCAGATGTTTTCAGGAACAAATTAGAAATACAAAAAATTGGCCAGGGGTAATTATTTTTTTCTGACAGATATTTATGCAAGAGTTCATTCAAGTTGCAGTTATTTTTGTATCTGTATCATAATCAATGCTATTAACTTGCAGCTCGCCAGTGATGATCCAGATGTGTTTGAAGGCTCAACTCAGTGTCTCTCACTCATGGTGCAGCTGTATGGTGGAGAAAACCAAGACAGTATGTCGCCAGAAAATATTGAATCTTTTGCAGATGCATTGATATCTAGACAGGATCCAAAACAGCAGAAACTTCTACTCAGGATTATCAAAAGATTGGTGAGTAAGGAATGTTACAATTACTTAATAGCTATGAGAGGAGATTAAATACTGGAATTGCTAATTTCTCACTCTTTTAACAGATTATTGAATCTGTTTCCACCAACCTTTCAGGCAGTGCATTCAGATCAATAAGTATTTTATATCATTCATTTTGTCACCTCCGAACTTGATTTCCGCAATGCCCAGCCTTCCCAGTTGGAAGTCAAGCCTTCAGCCTCCTTGCGCCTTTCTCAGGAACTCTCTCCCTAAATCTTTCAACCTTCCTCTCTGCTTTCAACAATATTCCTTTTTGGCTGCACCTTCAGTCATCTCCTTTCGATTCCCCTATTTCCCTCTTTGCTCGGGCTCCCACTCTCTCTTGTAAATTTCTTTGACACATTTAATTAGGTGAAAGGCACGATGTAAGTCATTTTTGTTATAAAGCACTAAATGGAAAATACCACTCCCAACCTTTGAAGAACCTTATAATGGTGCATAACTACTGGGTGTGTATTAATGGAAAACTCACTCTTAATAACGTTAGTAGGAGGTTGGTTGCTTGATAAAGTGGTTAAAGATCACTTCCACTACTTGCTATTTCAGAGACCATAGAAAATAGGCATTTCTGTCATCCTGCTTCCAGAGTAATTGTCTCCTTTTTTCTAACCAGGATATTTTCTCTAACAAGGAGGTGAAAATCCCTATATAAATGTAAATTGTATTTTCATACCTAAGCAAATAATTGGGGGGGAAAAATCATTCCCCCTTCCCTCAGACTCTGTGGTTCCTTCAGATCACCCAGACGATATGGAGTTACAGTGAGAGAGACTGTGTTTAGCCAAAGTGTTCTAATCATGCCTGATTTTCATACTTATTAACAATCTTAACAGGGAGAATCTCCTGTCCAAAGGAAGACCAACATTGATGACTTTGATTGGTAGAACATAGAACAGAAATGGATACAATAATAATCCCTCCAAAACAATAATAAAATTGGTCATTTCCAATCTACGACTATTTGTGGGACATTGCTGTGCGCAATTGGCTGCCGCGTTCGCCCACAAATATACAGTCAATTTACTTTACAGTATATTCTATGAAGCGCTTTTAGACGTCTAGAAGACGTGAAAAGCGCTATATCAAATGCAAGGATTATTATTATTACAAAGTACATGGGCTAAGAGTTTAGATGATAAGTCAAAATAATCCTCAAAAAAGTTTTTTTTAAACCCATATAAGAGTGCATACAACAATCAGATTGTTTCTCTTATCAGTACCTGAAAGTACATTAGATTTGTTTTATATTCAGACTTCTAATCATTCTGGTTAATCAGAACTTATTTCAGATGTTATTTGCAAATTAATTTACTTCTGTAGTGAACCATTCCTTGACAACACACTTTCTGAATGATTAATGATATCTTGCCATTCTATAAGGTCATTGTGCTTCACTGAGAATCTAACCTAGTTGTGTAAGCTTGTGTGTCCAAAATTTGAGCTAATTACCTAAAGTACATTATTCTTATTAAACGTTGCCTGGATGGTAGCAGTTGCTTTATCAAAGAGAGATTGTGAATTTAAAGGCATTTGAACTATCAATTCTCCGGATATTTAGGTATACCTCTTCAGATTCTAGGCAGTAGGTCGTAGTGTGTCAAACTGCTGCATTAAAAATTGGGAACTGTTTTGTTAAGTCCTTTGTAAAGGAGATGGACATTGCTCTCCCAGTTGTTCAGTCGGTAAATTGAAAAAGGGGAAACTGCCATAGAGACCTAAGGGCCTTCTATTTGAAACCTCTGCTATGCTGATAACTGAAACAATGAGAGACGTGCCACAATTAGCACGCAGTAAGGGTGAGAATCGGCCTGGCCTTTCCTGATCCTGATCACTATCAAATGAACCCTGATGGAAAGTACTGTTGGGTACAGATGATTAAATATCTGTGCAACGCCATGATTCCATGATGGTGAATTATAATTGACAGAGAATATGTAATGCTGGATGTGTCATTTGTATAGTACAAACTGCAAGTCATAAATAGTGACTAGAGCTAGGCAAGGACGGGAGTGATCGGCTTGTGGAGCCGAGTGAGAGAGAGGATATGAGGTGCAGAATTCTCATGGTCTGCAGCTTGTGGATGGAAGGGTTGGGAAGTCTATCAAGCAGAGAGTTGGCATAGTCAAGCCCGGACCTGATAAAAGTATAGATAAAGAGTCTCAGCGGCCTGAGAGGAGAGCTTGTGCGGAGGAATGCAATTTCATGGAAGTGGTGGTAGGGGAAGCTGAAAGGGTTAAGAAGGATGGTTGAGTCGAACAAGATACCAAGGTTCCATACTGGCTCAGTGAGCTGGATTGTGCATCCATATAGATTGATGTTGTGAGTGCCTAAGGTGAGAAAGCGCAGACAGGAGCCAAGCAGGAGGGCCTCGGTCTTGTCAACATTCAATTGGAGAAAGTTAGCTCTCATCCAGGACTTGATGTCCAACAGGCCTTCAATCAGAACAGCAGTGGTCCTGGAATCAAGGGTGGAGACGGAGAGACAGAGTTGGGTGTCATCCACATACAAGTGGAAGCTAACCCTGTGTCTGAGGATGACATCGCCATAGGCCAGCATATAGATATTAAACAGGAGAGGCCCAAGGATAGAGTCCTGAGGAACTCCACACATAACAGTGTGGGAAGAGAAGCTGTTGGCAGATATGAATTGGAGACATTGGGATAGGTAAGAATGAAAGCAGTCAAGGACAGAACAGTGATGGTGGGTGGAATTGAGAGGAGAGTCAATGGCAAAGAATAGAATGGGTGACACTGTCGAAGGAGGCAGAGAGAGCCCTGGTCACAGATGGAGAAAATGTCACTTATGACACATTGTCACAGTTCTGGAATGTACTATTTTTATTTATGCCTTCTAATGAAATGTTGGTTTTCCTCTAATGATTCAAAGTAAACCTGTGTGTTTGCAGTCCATGCACAGTGATTTTATGCCTTGATTGGCAAAGGTGGATCCCAGCACCTAACATTAAGATTTATTTTACCTAGTTGCTGCTAAGCAACCCTAAACTATCACTCTATCAAGTTCTGAAATAATTGCAATGCAACATCCAACAGTCGCTCTGCAAATCTCTGAAATAATTGCAGTGTAAGTTATGTTTGCAGCACTTAATGCAAGGTTCCATTATTGCGTATTTCAAATAGGGACGGACTCTCCTTCCCAGACAGCTGGCTGGATAGATAATCGCTATCATTTTAAAAATGAGCTAACTTTATCTACTCTGTAGAAATTCAGGATAAAACCACAGATTGTCATCTCTTCATCACCATCAAAAAGTAGCACAATATTTTAAGAAGAGTAGTTTATTGAAGCGTTAAAATAGTTAAACACTGTGTAAATCTTCTTTTCTCCATGATTAACCCTATTTATGATGCCTTGTGCAGATTGATGCAGTACAGTTCATTCACTGCATAATAAGGGAGTTGTTAAGACTTGGGAATATTTGCATCCAGATGGCAAAGAGTAAAATATTTCTTGTATCATTTACCTTACAATTGCAGAGGGTCTTCTGTGCTTTACGGTTTAAGAGATCTTAAATATACATTTAATGTTATGAAAGTTGCATCCAGATGGCAAAGAGTAAAATATTTCTTGTATCATTTACCTTACAATTGCAGAGGGTCTTCTGTGCTTTACGGTTGAAGAGATCTTAAATATACATTTAATGTTATGAAAGTTCAACTACATTTTTAAAATACCACTCAACCATTTTCATTAAGGTGTTAGGTTTCAGAAGTATAATATACTGTATTAAAGTTGCCATATTCCTTCACTGGATGGTCATCAAATATTTACATGTAATTGAGACAAGCTACATTGGCTGAGCCACATGCCTCTCTATGACCTTTAGAAAAAAGATACTTATGTCTAGCTGTTGAATTGTGAGACCATTAAAATTCCATCCTACATAATAATCTGTTTTACTTCCTTCTGGTTTCTAGGGAGGGTTAGGTTGTTTTTACACATAATTTGATGGAAAAAGGATTAGTAGGGAAGAGCATTGGAAATCCTTGCATTTTTTATTTTTTACACGCAGTGCTGCTTATGTGTGTGTGTATACCTGTCCTTTGCTTTAGTAATAATAATATTAATAATCATTACACTTGATATAGCACCTTATTACATTGTCAAAGCATCTCAAAGCTCTTCACAGTGTAGTAGCTGTCTATACAAACAAACATGAAGTGAATTACCAATTTTATATGGGGACTTATTGACCAGGACACTGGGAGACACTCCTATCTCTTTTCAAATAGTACCATGAAATCTTTATTGTCCACCAAAACAGGCAGACAAGAGCTCTGTTTAACATCACATCCTGAGGACCCAGCTCTGACAAAGGTATTGCTTCCCCACTATTGTATTGGAGTATCAGCCAAAGGTCTTGAACCCACAACCTCTGATTCAGAGGCAAGAGTGCTACCAACTGCTCCACATGGCCATAAGTTTAGTGAAACGTTGATATATATATATACACTTATTTAATTATATTATACATTTATATTCCCATTATCAGCGCACATCGTCAAAAACGCAATTTGTTCCTTACCTCTCCAACCTCCTCACATCCCAATCCACCACCCAGCTCCTCCACTCGACTGGCACCAGCCTCCTACTTGTCCCTCACACCTTCCGCTCCACCATTCGAGATCGCACTTTCAGCCACTACGCCCCAAAACTATGGAACACTCCCTCAATCCCTCCACCTTGCACCTCTCTCCCCTTTTTCAAGTCCCACCTGAAAACCTTCCTTTTCGACCGTGCTTACGGTCACCTCCCCACTCCCCGATTGGGAGTCAGGTTCTGCCACTGGTAAGCACTCTGAGACGCTACCCTTCGTGGTGAGCGCTATATAAGTGCAAGTTGTTGTTGTTGTAAACGTATCTCCACAAAGAGCAACACCCCCCAACACACACACACATACAAACAAGTCAGCTTGATTCAGATAATAGCACTCCTGGCTCTGG